TGGAAAAAACAAAAGCAAAATTATAATTAAAATTTAAGTCTGAGAGTGCCATTTCCGGCAATCTAGAGCTGTCACAATCATAAATTTTCTTTCCTCAGCCCCAACCGTGGTGGGGCTCAGGTGATCTACTTTCCCAAATTGTGCAAGTCCTTCCCTGTCCTCCCCCTATTTTGCATTTATGGGGCTGCCACTGACAATGATAAATTAAGTAAATCACCTGTTTGGTATGTTTGTGAAATCAAAATGCTAACTAATGTTTTGTGTGCTCCCTATCTCCCTAGTCCTATTTTATCGTAAATTAGTAATAATAATAATAATAATAATAATAATAATAATAATAATAATAATAATAATAATAATAATAATAATAATAACAATAATAATATAATAATAATATAATACTAATAATAATTTTACGATAGTTTGATTAATGAGATAATAATATTAATCAGCATATTAAATAAAACTAAATAAAAATGTTATCTACCGTACTGTATTTGATTCTGTTTTAAAAAATAATCTTATAAATTATAAGTGTATTTTCTGTGATAATTTTATCCACACAGGCTAATTCATGTTTTCAATGTTAATATGGTTGATAAATAATATATATAAAATAATAATAATAATAATATTAATAATAATAATAATAATAATGAAGGTGCTCGAATAATGCTTTAATAAAGAATTAATAATACTTCATACTTCAATAGGCCTATTTACGATAGTGTGATTAATGAGACATTTGTTGATTAATTTATAGAAATCTATAAAAGGTATATACCATTAATAATGATTCAGCATATTAAATCAATTAAAAAATTAGTGACGCCGAGGCAAATAGTTGATAGTAAATAACAGTACAATGAATATCCACATAATTGTTGAATGCAGTGACCTGTCTCTAGTAATACAGTACATTAAAAATACAAATTATAATTCGGGACAAAAAATTATCTTTACATGATATAACCCATGTTTGTGTAAATCGTGAACTCAAGCCGTAAAGTAGTATACGTACCGTACCGTACGATGAATTTTCATTTGAAACATCTTACTTGAAACTATTATACTGTGTATGATGATGGTGATTAGGCATACAGATTTCAAGAAAAATACAAAAACAGCGTGGTGATTAATCCTGGCGTGATTAATCCTGGTGCTTTCTAGACGGAATCGACGTTAAGGTAAATAAAACTCGAAAAAAAAAATCCTGTTCCAAAGGTATGTTTGTATACATTTTTATATCATTTGAAACATCTTACTTGTATCTATTATACTGTGTATGATGATGGTGATCACGCATACAAATTTCAAGAAAAATACAAAAACAGCATTTTTGCATACGTATTTGTGACATAGTTTTATGTACCGGTACTTATTAAAACATTGATACAAACCAAAGTTGTCAGTTATTTCATTTGAAACCGGTGTCAGTATAATCTTAGGTAAGCATGTGGTTAACATAAGCAAGAATTTAGTCCAATGAAACTGTTTACCATCTTGATACCTTCCGAAGAAAATTGACCCTACCGGCGTCACCACCGAACGATCTAACGTGACGTTGTTATGTGGGTGTTTTATAGGTTAATGAGAATGGTAATATCACCGAAAAAATAGATTAAATGACAGATGAATGACAAACAAAGACAACTGAACGACAATATTTCGTCATTAGAAGTTATTTAGTATTTATTCGGAAAATTAATCTCAAAATCGAGTTGCCGTCCCCGGCGTTGTCAGTGACGTCGTATGATCTGTTTGCGATTTTTACAAACTCCTAAGTAAAAAATAGTTGAGCCATGTAGTACCTTGCAAATTAACCAGCAACCCGGTAGTTTGTTGATTGTTTATTCATAGTTACCAACCTGAGAGATTTGAAATGCGTGAGTGTCATGACTATACCAGTTGGCTGGGATGGCGGGGGGGGGGGGGTCCAAGCGGCAGGGGTACCACCCCCACTTACCCCCCGACGATCTGAGCATTTTTAAGTTGTTTTAAAACGATTTCAGGAAGTGTCTGTTGGTAATACAGGTACATAAGCAAAAATATTATTAATAAAGCCAATTTGTGTTTCAATGTAGGCCTATGTTTAACTAGAGCACCCTAACTTTGTAGACCTACACAAATATTTCATTACTGGTCAATTTTTAGTAACTCGATAGTGAAATAAGTAGGGCTTTCAAGGAAATACTGTACTCTCTAATGACTCAAGTTACTGCATCACATTTATAATTTTAATCCAACCAATTTCTTCAAATTTTAAATACATTTCCCCTGAATTTGTGATAAATCGTTATTACGCATGTGTTTCTGCAAAATGCGTGTTTCATCCAAAATCACTTTGAAATGCGGGGCCGTCCCGCACGATGCGAGACGATTGGTAACTATGATTATATGTACGGTATTATATTATTGTTATTGTATAGGCCGAATATTTGTTAAACACAGATACCTTTTTTGCATAGCAGTGGCGGCGCCAGCGGGGGGAGACAGGTCAAGCCCCCCCCCCCGCCGGACAGAGCTCGTCGGGCAGTCGACCATAAAACATATAAAAATAGGCCCACACCAAGCCAACACATGTGTGTCACAGTCTGAGAGTGCCATTTTCAGCCATCCAGAGGTTGATATTCTCTTCTCTCTTTCAGTACGGTATATTAAACAAGAAGTAAAAACATTTTTGTTGACAGGACATTCAAAATTAATTGTAGCTGGAAGGGTTATTCATGAAGACTTTACAATTTTAATAGCCAAGTAAAAATATGTTCCCGCTACATATCATCAATAAAACAATTTCGAAATATCTTGATTCTGCATGCTCCCTTAACAACCATTCTAAACCCTCTGATTCCAATGTAGATGCCACACCCACCACCTTTTATTTTAAAATACCATAGGCCACTTTTCTATGGTTGCCTCACAAAAAATATTGTTTGCTTTCCAAGCAATTGTGTAATGATTTCGAATTTATTAAGTTAGTTTTTTTTCTTCACTTAAAATTAATTTTTTTAAAAGTGAAGATCCTATTCCTCCACTCACGTGTTGTTTATAAATTGTTTGCGCTGGCTGTTTTATGCCTGCTATGTCGGAGAAACTAGCCAACACTTCTCAACACGCATGCGTGCGCGAGCACTTTAGCAGAGGACAGCAACTCTCACATATTAAAGAGTTCACGCAAATGCATGCTAACTTTTAGTGAGGGAGGGCTGTTTCCGTATGCTTGACCCAATTAACTCATCATTTTAAATTCAAGGAGGCATTGCATATCCAATGGGAACAGCCCTCACTCAACAAACAACTCTACCATGTTAATTTAACTGTTTTACGTTTCAAAATTTATATATCATTATTACACTACTACGATGCTTTAGAGTATATATACAAGATCCAAGATCAAATGTATAAAATATCATTAAAAAAAAACTAAGAAATGCAAAATCGCAAGGAAACACTTTACAATTCTAACAAATGTAGTACATTTGATCAAGGAAAAAAGATATTTACATCAAATTTCCATAAAAATCCATAGACAAAAGCACATTAAAACATTTGAATGATATATATATACTGTCTCTTATACACATCTAGATGTGTATAAGAGACAGCTGTAGATATCAATTTTGATATAGGCAACAGCTATAATGTAAATGTGCGGTACTGTAAGTAGACAGCCAGAAATACAGAACTGTTGGAAATTATAGTCCTTCCTCAGTGGCGAGTAGAGTGAGGGTTTAAAACATTAGTTAGTGATACATTGCTAACATTAACCAGGCGGATCTGAGTTAAAATTGAGGAGGTGGGGGTAAAAATGTTTCCAAAACCACCAAAAGAAAAGGGGATCGGGGAGTCGATCCACCGAGAATATGTTGATTCCTAGATGGCGGGAAATAAGCTTTCCTGACTTCTGGGGTGTGGTTTAATGACTTTTAAGTTCTTAAAAATTCAAGGTTTTCCCCGGTCATGTAAATTTTCTAATATTTATTTCAGTAAATTGGCCTATTATGTGTCTATACAAACATAAAAATAATTGAGTACAGGTAGTTACATACGTATTTTTTTCTCATAAATCGATGAACCCCAAACAGAAAGGAGATCCGGTGGTCTCCCACCCCCGGGAGAATTTTGATCCTAGGTGGAATGAAATAAGCTTTCTCGACTTCCGAGGTGTCTTTAATGACTTTTAAGTTCTTCATAAATTCAAAGTTTTCCCCCTCTTGAAAACGGTCAGGTAAATTTTCTCATTCTTATTACAGTAAATAGGCCTATTATGTGTGTATATATAGACCAAAAATTGAGTAGTTGTATACGTAGGCCTATTCTGTTTTCCATGAATCGATGAACGCCAAAAAGAAATTTAGCACTCTACGGTTAAATGAAAAAAAAGTTTCCTTGAATTCTACCTTAAAGCGTTTATGTTTGGATATCTTATTTAGTTTAAGAACACTATTAGAAAAACGAAAATTAATGCTATATTATAATATGGCTTATTTGAATAATTCAATCGCTCTAATGTTATATTTTTCAACTATAGTGACACATTATATGTGAGACCTCACGATGGGACATTTTGCCTTTGAGACTCCGAATAAACTGAAATCCATTACATAATAATACAATTATTATTATTTTCATTTACAGGGTAAACATTGCGAGAGATTGTTAATCTACAGTTTTATATCAGCGTTACTGCAAGAGAGTGAAGTTTCTCATTCAGATGATATCAAATTATCTGAATGAGAAACGTTCACTCTATTTCAGTGAACTGTCTCATTCAGATAATATCAACGAACGACAATTTTGATAAATATACAGTAAATCAAATTTAATTTGTGATAATTTGCACTCAATTTTCACTCATAAGGTTTGTATTTCTATTCATAATGTGTTTATCATAGGCATATCGTATTAGACTTGGTTAATTTATTAGAACACTCTCAGTTTTGTTAAAACCAGTATATTAGTGCATTTGCTTAAGATCGATGGCAAATTTCAGTTGACAGCTAGCTTCGATAAACTGTTTGTTCCACTCGGCTTTTATCAAATATAATGGTTTTGAAATTGTATTTTTTGCTTCTGGTATTTTCAATAATCAACCGTATTTCAGCAATTATTATCTCTCAAGACAGTAAGTTGATATTTTGATGATTATAGTAATATGTTATAGGCTTATAATTTAAAAAAAAAATCTATATTTTGGTGTTTTTAATCAAAACTGAATTTACGGTTCATATTTAGTAAGAATATATTCAACATAATACATTTACCTTCATATTTATAATAATAATATTCTTACATGCATAATAATAATAATATAGAAATTTATATAGCGTCTTTATACATAAATAAGAATTTGACCTATATTTATTTAATTCAGATATTTATGAAACGAAAAACGGAAAATAACAACAACAACGGTATTAATTATAGGGCCTATGTTACTTGAACGTTTGTTACTGAAGAAGTAATACCACCGTAAGCCTGGTCTCGACAAGAAGACCTCCTCTTTAGTTTGCAAAGAGTAGTGTTGAAAAGAAGTCCATCCGCTGGCATAAATCAAGATTGTATGGGCTTCTTTTCGAAATAGTACTTACCTTTCGACGGACATTGTTTTTGATGATTTAATAGTGTGCCAGTACCAATATTATTTTATTGTAATAAAGAATAATTCCCCCATAATTATTATCGAAACGGTTGGTCAACTGGATTTATTGCATGCATTCAATTTGTAGAAGCCGCTTAATGGAGAAAATGTATCTTTACCATTGTTAGGGCAGTTTACACTATGACGATAGCCATCAACGATACAAAGCTAAAAACAATTGTTCATATAGAAAAGAAATACGAGAAGTTTTCACACTAGCACGATTCAATAATGATTTATTATACATGCGATTAAAACATATTTTCACAAATCAAAAAAGAAATGACGTCATAATCATAGAAAAACGATAAAATCGTTGTAGTAAAAAACAATTTTATGGTTTTCCCATGAATATTTGATTTGATTTGTGAAATTATTTTGTTATCGTATACGCGATAAATCGTTATCGAATAGTGCTAGTGTAAAAACTTCTCTCATTTCTTGTATTTTCTATTATGAACATTTGCTTTTTTTTAATCGTTTATCGCTATCGTCTTAGTGTAACCAGGGCTTTAGGTTGAATCTAACTTCGGCTATACAAATTCATTAGAAAATTAAAAATGGATAATATAATTAGTTATAAGTTACAAATGTACACACGTCTAATAAATTATACATACAGTAGGCCTATTAATTTGCTCTATGTAGTGTGATATTTATAACATATTGCATATATAAATATTAAGTTGTCCAACAAATTGTCGTTGACATCTTTAATAGACCTAATTAAAAAAAGATCTTGTGCGAATTTTTAAAAATTTTGAGTTGCCATGGTTAAAAAATGACTTCAGTAGTCTTATACGGATTTATTGTAGCAAATCCAACTTAAACAGCGTTCCTTTTGAAAAATGTCCCCTCGTTAATTGGCAAAAGTAATCTGGAAAAGAAGCCTATCTCAAAAAGAGGCTCACAAGGGTCCTAGAAAGACACCCAGGGCTTCTGGTCGAGGTTTTATGGTATTAAATGCTTGCAGTACACCACGTAGATGCATTTAAAAATGAACTGTTATTTTTTTTTAGAATGTCTCAACGTTTCGATTGAGTTTCTACAATCGTCAATAATTATATACTTTTTTTCAGATATTGCTAGATTGGTCAACACTACATTAACATACTACGCTGGTCGGCTGGAAATGCTAACGGATAGTAACCAATGGTCCCCAATCTGCCAAGCCAACTTCAACACACTGGTAGCCACAGTCGCGTGCAAGTCTTTCGGATTTGTTAACGCGGAGTCATTTGAATTTGGATATGAATTTTTTAATTTAAACAAAACTGTCTTTGAGTGCACTGGTTTTGAAAGCGAGCTAAGCGAATGTGTTTCGAAGAAAACACACGTTGATAACTGCGCATATGTCACACTAACATGCACGGCAATACCACTAGGTAAGTGTGGTATTGGGGAACATAAAAAAAAAACCCCAACAACAACATTACCATATTCTTTTCAGCCTGATTTTTACCATGACGACAATGATGAAGCTTATAATGCCCATTTCGATGCCTAATTATTTTGTTATTGAATAGTACCGATGTTGTCACTCGACCTCAGTACTGTATACTCGCCTGTAACTGTTCGTTGTTCACCAGATTTGTTTCGATTTTGTAGTGAAGAGAAATAGAATCGGGCAGCTCTACGATTATGTCTTCGTTCCACGTCGTTGGAGAATATATGTTTGAATTTTGCTACTGAATAAAATCATGATATATCCACTAACCAATTTATGACGGGGTTACCAATAAGGGTTTTTACAATAACAATAATAATAATGATGATAATAATAATGATGATAATAATAATAATAATAATAATAATAATAATAATAATAATAATAATAATAATAATAATAATAATAATAATAATAATAATAATAATAATAATAATAATAGTGCTTGAATAGGAACATGTTGTATCGTATCAAGCATCATAAAGGTTCCTTTATTTCAGTCGTACGAAAAAAAGTGTTTGACGGGAATCGAACCTGCAACCCCTCGCAAACAAGCACCGTTATTATCTAGGCGCACCAAAGTTGATTTGATATATTTAGTGCAAGGGCACTACCTTCACCATTTCACTGTGCTGATTGTTTGTTTTTTTGTTTGTTTGTTCGTTTTTTTGTTTGTTTATTCGTTTTTTTTCTCTACTTTTTTATTTATTTATTTTTTTTATTTTTTTTATTTTTTTATCTTATTAATTATTATTCAAATGTTTATGTGCATTCTTTAATTTTAATGCGAGATTATTGGCTGTGTTCATTGTCTTCCTTTTGAATTTCTTTTTTATAATATTGAATTTTTACATTTTATATTTAAATTTGGTAGTTTTTAATCTTGTATAATTATTATTAATGTATTTTGATTCGATTTTTCCACTTTAACTTTTTTTAAAAAAATTTTTTAAAGCGGGTTGAAGAGTTTGTTTTAATTGAAAATGGGTGGTAGGGTGGGGGGTGTAGTGATTGTGGTAGCAAATAAAATGGAAAAAAACATAATTAAGCATTCATTTATTATCCATCACCAAATCTTCAAAAATGTTGTTTTTACGTCGAAAATGGGGAAAATAACAATATAGCATGATATTTTAAGATATATCAATTTCGAAAATGTTGATATTTCAACATGTTTTGGCAATTATCTCTGCAACACGATTTTACCAGCTTAGCTTCTCTTCGCCACTAATTGTATATTATCCATAAGAAGGAATCATATCTTTTTTTCATAAATATTTCTCCGTTTTTCAAGTTTTCAACAATATTACGAAATTATATCATCATATCAAATATTTGAATTACAGTAGAACCACTATCATCACAAGGACCAATTGTGACAGTGTATTTTCCCCACCCATTTTCACAAAATCTTACTATTTTTTTTCACTAGATGCAAGATGTCTGCGGGTGCACCCGCACAACGAAACCTCGAAGGGTCCGCTTGAGATACTGTTTGACAACGAATGGAGATACGTGTACGACGCGTCATGGGGAGTTGCTGACGCGCAAGTAGCTTGTCGTCAACTTGGCTTCGGTGGTGTACTGAATGCAAACAACGAAACACTCAGCACAAATGACATAGGCCTACTTGACGTAGTGACAGATAATTTTGAATGTAGTGGAATAGAGAATTACTTGTACGAATGTCTACACGACGACTGGAATATTAAAACTCCTCGATCGTCAAGTGGTCGTGTGTTTCTAGAATGCGTCCCAGTCTTTATAGGTAAGTGGTCTATTTGTTATCGCGTTCTAACCACAACAGAGGAAAAAAAGAGCCTATCCCCAGGCCATTCAAAAGAATTGATCATGCCCAATTTGTAATCAGCTCCGTTCCCAGGTTTCTTAATTCTCCAACTAACTCAGCACCAGACGGCAGTAGCGTAGGCTTACCTAAATGTATTGGCAGAGGGTGTGGGGGAGGGGCTAATCGGGAGGTGGAGGCGAATTTAAAGTTGGGTGGGGATCGATTATTAAGCGATAGCTGCAAATTAAGGTGATATAAGCAGTGGCGTATCTAGGGGAGGGCGTGGGGGCGAACGCCCCATCCCCAAAATGACTCGCGCCAACCCAGTTCCCCCCACCCAAAAAAATCAAGGTTAAGTAGTTAAAAATCACCTAAAATCACCATATTTTGCAAATTAGCGCCCCTCAACTCATCATCGAGCCCCCCCACTTCACCTTCGCTCCCCATCAGCCCCCTCCCCCATTTCAAGACCTCTAGATACGCCACTGCCGACGTCGTCTAGTTTTCTACACTAATTGAAGTGTATGGTAGACTTGCAGGGTCTTTGTCTAATTATTAAGTTTATATCACCATAAGCTATAAAAATGTGCAAAATATAAGCATGAATATGTACTTACATCAGTGGCGAATCAACTCCCCCCCCCCCCCCCCCCCACACAAATTCACGCTGGTAGGGTCAATTTTTATCAGAATTTATCAAGATGATAAATATTTTCATTGGACAAAATTCTTGCTTATGTTAACCACATGCTTACTGAAAATTATACTGACACTTATGGTTTCAAATCACGGTCAAGTAGTTTAAAATCACCTTATTTTTTGCGAATTAGCGCCCCTCAACTGATCATCGAGCCCTCCCCCCACTTCACCTTCGCCCCCCCCTCCCCCCCCCC